TGTATAAAGTCGCGAATCCCCCGCTTGGTTTTTACGCGTACTATAATCGTATGGGAGAATTTTGTAACTTTGTAAAGCCAATTTCAAACTGCGCACGATTAAAAGATTGCAAATTTCAAATACCAATATTTTTTTCATTAGACTTCTGACCCGAGTGTTTTAAGTATGAAAATGTTCTGCTACGCGGTCCGCAACTTATCCTGGCATTATTTTGTGCGTAAAAGCTAACAAAAAGATTTACCAGCGCAAAAACTATATTCGAATGTGTCGATAAAACAGATGACTTTAGGATCCTCTCGAGCCCGGGGCACGATCGTCAATTTTTTCCTCCAGCGTGAATTCGTGAAAGGCGAAGAGTTTCATTGACGAATAGCGAGGTTCTTCAATGAAATTTTTCACTTTTCACGAGCTCACGCTCGAGAAAAAGATTCGTGATCGAGCCTCTGGTCTATAACGTACTTGTATCCGGAATTATTCTATCTTATAGCGCGAGTAAATAAAACTCGTGCGAGTTAATAATTGCACACTGTATAATCCTACGTTGTCGAGCAACTTTTCAGGCGTATTGATTTGTTCACAGAAAATAAAGATGTTTCTAATCGAGTGGTTTCACAGTGTACTTGTATTGTACAATAGATCGGGCTTAGAAGCAGATTCGCGACGGCGGACACGTGTGACCGAGAGGGAAACCTGAGGGCATTGTGGTGTACAGATTTGCGGCATTACTGGGCATTACTAGGCCTTTTTTGGGCATTAGTTTGGGCATTAAGCCTATTGCCTATCACACAATGCCAGGCAACAGGCAACAGGAATAGGGAATAGAATTTTTGACGCGCTCGATTCGTCGGAAATTTTCTTCCAACCAATCCAACGCGTCAGAAATTCTATTCCCTGTTCCTGTTGCCCGGCATTGTGTGATAGGCTTTAGGCCTTGCTGGGGCTTTATAAAGATAAAATAAGATAAAATAACAGAAAACAAGATAAGTAAGATAAAATAAGATAACAAGATAAAGTAATGCCCACTGGGCATTAGTGTACAAGATTTTGCTCAGCGGTTACCTTGTCGCGCGTGACCTAAGGGAAAAAAACACACGAGAGTATTTTCCCTCGCGATTCCGCGAGGAATCTGTCGACGCGGATATTCGGAGCGTCGAGGACGTAGAGATCGAGAGAGACAGAGAGAGCGTAGAATGTCAAATTGAATCTCGCTGTCTCTCCGGACGGCAGGAGGGAGACTCTCCTCGGCGTCGAATATTTTTCATTTACACCATTTACACCGAGGCCGGCGATATATCGGTCACACGCGCGAATCGGCCGCGGGATTGCCAAAGGTGAAGATAAATACGAGTACAAATTCACTCACCGGTCGATGCGTGACACCTCCTCTCTCCTCCAGTCCCGGGGGGGTCGTCGCGTCCCCGTCCGCCATTCCCGCTCCACCTCTCACCGGCAAGCACCGGCGACGTGGCCCGACACTCGGCGCGGCACTCCCGACGCGACGTTCCGTTGCTTCGCGCGCGCGTTTACCACGGCATTTTCCCACGGAGTGGGCGCGCACCGAGGTTCCAAAGTTCGCGCGACGCACTTCGAACGACAGTCCTAAACGAGAAACGACGAAGCACTCCCGGCACTCGCGAGAATCCGCGTGAATCCGCGTGAAGTCGGCCGCGAGGCGTCCGGCCATGTTCCAATTACGCGCCGCCAACTTCGCGCGATGCGTGGACACCATGGGCGATCGCGACGAGAGCCCGAGAGAGGACGAAGATCGGGCGACGTTGTTAAAGACGCCTCGCTCGAGCTGAGAATCGCCTTCGCGCTTTTCAGGCGCGCTTTTGCGACTCGGGCTGGCGAGCGGCGCGGAGCGGACGCGTCTCGATTGAACGGCAATCCGGTGAACGAGCGACTCGCTCCGGGGCGAAGAGCGACACACGCGCGCAGCCAAGGCCCACGATCGAGAATCCCACTCGATATTCCACGACGCCCGGCGTCCCGACGCCCGCGACGGCGAAAAACGCGCGGGGGGGACCGCGCGCGATTCCCGAAACGGCGGAGCGACGCGTGCTCGAACGATGGTCGCGACGTGACTACGCGGCTCAGAAAGGGACGCGCGCGCGCCGCGAGCCGCCGAGCGGCGACCCGGGCGCGTAAACAAGGTCGAAAAAACGCTCGCGAGCTTCAACCGTCTGTCTGCGCGTCGTAAATACAATGTCACCGAGTTTTTCCCCGAGAATTTGAACGCGACTGGTGTCTCGAACTGTAATAACTGCGCGTTCGCTTCGGCCGCGAGCACGGGCGCGACTCGAAGCGTCCAATTTCGTCCACGTCTGTCCACCGCGAGACGCGACGCGACTGACGATCTCTTTTAACGAAAATGCACACCTTCGATCACGCGATCGCTCAAAGGGGCGCGCTTGTAAACTCGAGCTAATCGGTGCTCATTGTCGTCCAAGAGAGTCGCGTACGTTCGCGGTTAGGAAAAGGACTTTCCGCTCGACGCGAAGGCGGCACGCGCTTGTGTTACGTGTGTCGTAGTTCGGTGAGAAACTAATCGCAGTCTCACGTACCGGGTTCCTCGACGATCGCTCGATTCGACACCCCCCGACGTTTATTCCTTGCGCCGGACTCGAGCGGAAAACGAACGGGCTCCGTGACTTGCGAGGACGATACGGCGACGAGACGCGACGAGACTACGCGAGTCAAATGAAGCACGAACAGACTGCGGCGCGCGACGAGCCGAGAATACAAATAGTGAAGGAGCAAATAACGTGAACTATTAGCGGCGTATTGAAAGTTTATGTTAAAATGTAGCGAGTTATTCGCTGCGAATTTTCGTGTAATTTAAATGTCGACCGTGAAAATCGAATATTGTGCTGATTAGGGGAAAGTCCCTTATTATGAGATAGGATCCTAGTACGGGATAGCGGGATTTCTGTTAAATTAATGGGCATCGTCAGCTGACTCTACCACGAATTTATTGCCCCTGGAGCGAAATCTGTTTGGTGGAAAATTTATTCAGATTGCGTAATCGTTGCGAAAAAAGATTTGTGATCGAATACTCCAAAGTGTTGTGAAGCCTCCCAAAAAGAAAATATATAGAAAGGAGAGAGTGACAATGTGAGCCGCAAAATGAACGGAACTCGGTTCTCACAATATATAATCAAATTTCACTTTAATAGCGTAAACGTTTCCGACCCTTCTTCGGGTCTTCCTCAGTAAAAAAACTCGTTTAGACCGAATAAAGCATAAAGCAATATTTTAGGGGATCAGAGTGCACTATATGTGACTTCAGTCATTCTTCTATCTGTGTTAATATCAGTGAGTCCCCAAATGGTCCCAGACATAAAGGACTGAATAACACAACTCGACAGAGGGACGAATCCGTAACAATGGTGTTAAACGATTTGTGATCGAACTTGGATGTTGAAAACCTGCCGTCTCATATTAAAAACCTACCTCATAACATAGGACTTTCCTCTGTATGAAATTATATCACGATCGCGGATGCAATTTCAAGTGTACGACCTTTACGTCGCACGACGGGCGTTTTAGTTCTTTTAATTGTTCTCCAATCACGATCAAACTAAAGAGTCTCAAAAGAATTGATACATCGTGCAACCCAGATAGAACAAGACACTTCTATGAACATTTTAAGAATATTCTTCAAGAATATTTGGAATATTCCATAGGTCATTCTTATACATTTATCTTATGTTCGTAGAACATTCGACTGGCGCTACTATAAATCTTTTTCAAATGTGAGTAGAATCTACCGAATATAGCGTGTCGGTTATACATGGTGTGATCACAGGTTTCACTGCCTTGTACACAAGCTAAGTGTATTACACAATAAACAATGCGCAATACATAAACTCGATGAATATTACAAAATTATTCTGAACGAATATTCCAAAGACATTCTCGACGAATATTCTAAAAACGTTCTTCTTTGTTGTGAATATACGATTTCTAAGTATAACAATCTATATATATTTGTAGAATAGTCGCTTTGAATATTCTGAAATTAAAAATATTTGCACTCTAGAAGAATATTCATAGAACTACGTGTGCTATCTGGGTCGAAATTCGGTCTCGGCGGGAAAAATGCGCGCATGTGCGAAGAACGCGGGCCGATCGCGCGCGATTTCTGAAAACGGACGCGACATAAACTGTGCCAGTCAAATATATACACGCGTTCTGAGCTGAAAATAAGATTAGTTGCCCCCAGTGAGAAATGATTCGCCGTTCGATGTCGAATCGACACCAATTTGACGGAGTTAATGTCGATTCGACGTCGTTTCAATCGACGAGTCATTTCTCGCTGGGTCTGCATTAGTATATAAATTGACCCGTATTTCTCGCGGATCGTCCGTAAATATAAAATAATAATAAACCGAATTTATCGTCGCGAATTGTAGCGCGGGATTGATATTATCGTCGTAATAATCGTATCGGTATATTAATGCGTGCCCGACTTAAATTGTCTCATCTGTGGCGCGTTATTCTAACTTTCTCGCGTGTGGATAATTGAAGACCCTCGCGTGAACTTAAGATAGAACGTGTGTTCGGACTCGTTACGAATAACATAACGTCTTTCGTCGAATGTCAAATTTGCTGGGACAAGCAATATTTTCAGAATAAAACGTAACATGTCTATAAATCGCTCGTAAAACAATATTTGGCAGTGTGTGCAATTCTAAATGTACAGGGAGTGTACGTCGATATTTACTGAAAATGCAGAATATTTTCTCGTCACATTCACAATTACTTTAATCTGACTCGCGCGATCTGTTATCTGATTCCCATTTTATTGAAAAAGAGCAAAATCTCTTAAATAAAGCAGCTATTTATATAAATAAATCATATTTCTAAACTCGATCTTCGCGAGCTCTCGTGGAACAATAATTCTCACCTCTCGGGATGCCATTATTTTCGCACGATTAAGACGATACGAGATGCGCTGATACAAGAAAATCAGATAACAAATGAAACAAAGACGGGCGTCGTATACATGGTATAAATATATTTATGCGAATATCTCGTTACATGGTCGTGTCTACATATTATGACACATTACAGTGCTAATAAATGCTGTTACTTTTAACTGGATTCGTAGTGTAAAAGTTGATTAAACCCTTTTGATAAAACGCTTTCTCTCGCAACACTCCCCTTCCCTCTCCCCCATTCGACGTCGACATATCGAATGCATCGCGACGACGCATTCGTTATGCGTCAATAGTACTAACGATATGCGACAGTTCGGACAGTTAATAAAAAAAAATCAGCCGGTCGCATGCCGCCGGGACTGAATTGTTCATAAGTTGACTGCATGCAGCATCGTGATAACCGAAAGAATTTCGCATACACAATCTTACGTGTGAATCGTAAAGCGCGTCTTCGTTTCGCCCTTCCCGCCCTAGTTAACGTTACTCTTTCCACTGCAGGCACAAACGTCCTTTTCTCCTTTCGTCCTCGGTGCGACCTTTTTAAACAGTCTTCGAGCTTTCCATCACTAAGTGCCCCCTGCGCAGCCGCGGCATGGAAGGGAGACTAACGTTGGTTTAGAAGCTCTTTAATTCTGACTTATTAGGTAGTAAAGTTGCTGAAAAATACTTTGCTCTATGTAGGAAAACGGCATTCAAAAACATATTGAAAAATTGGTCGATTTTTCTGAAAGCTTTCGTGTGCACTTTAATGTGATTCCGAAGATTTATTAGCGATATTAGAGAGCCCTCGCGATAACGCGTGTTCACAGGACGAGCAATGAAACTACTCGCCGCGATAATCCTTCGTGGAATTGTACTAACGTCGAGATAAGCCTGCGCTACCGGAAACGCGATATTGCAAGAGTCCCCGAATATCTACGATGCTTTATAGTAGGTTGTTAGAAGTAGCAATAATCTTTTTGTCACATGCAATCGACAGTATGTCTAAGTGATACTGCTATATTTATCGTTTTTATATATTCATCATAGAGCTCCTAATACTGACGTCGCCGAGAATGAAAATTTCATTGTAATACGCGTCGAAAAAGAAAGTACGCACTCGTCGTTTTAGCGGAAGATACTTGAGCGCTCTATCGCTCGAATGAGCATTCTCTCAGATACCGACGACTCAGATACCTATACCTCGGTAAACGTTTCGACTTAAAAAAATATTGTTGAACAATAGCACCAATCTCTATTTGCTTCGCCATCCCTGCCCCTATCGAGTGTAAACGTTAAAAGTCAATGGAGCTTGGAGCGATTTCGAGATTTATCTGAAAATCCCCGCTCCGAACGTCTCGTTCTGGAAAGTCGTACTGGAAAAATGAAAGCTTTGTGCGGCGTAACTCTTCTCGGAAAGAAAAAGAACCAGCCGTTATTATCTGATAGAAAAGTTTTATCCGGCTTTACACGCTCAGAGTAATTATCGCACGCCTCGTGGAATGTGTCTGCGGTCGCCCGACGATTTGCTCACCCTTTCCGAATACGATTACGAACTCGTGTAGAGGCAAATTTAGTTCTATTTAATACAGAGTTATACTACACACAAGATCGTCGCCTGGTACTACAGTGTCGTTTTGAATTCAGGCATGCGTCCCACCGATGATCCTCAATACCCCGTCACTTTACAGAATTACACACTTCCTCTTCTTCACCGGTTCAGGTGGCTCCAGCGCGGCTAAAATAGCTTCGTCGAATACGTTCTTCAAGCCTTTCTGGTATGTAAAAGAAACCACAACTTCATATTATATGATACACCATTTAGAAATATAATATAATGAACTAACAGGCTGCGGTCAAGCGGTCGCTTCAAACGCTTTCAAAGTATTCTTCTTCTCCTATCTTTCAGAAAAGATAGAAGGAGAAGAGAAACTTCGACAAACACACTGTAATAAAAATATAATTCTTTCTTTCATTTTCAAATAATATATGTACAGCTTCTCATAAATTTGCTTGTCGTTATATTTGATAAGAGTAACATTTTAACGTGATCTAAATTTCAAAGAAAAAGTATTCTCTGCTAAGAACGTGCCGCAATTGTGTCCAATAATGTTTAGATAGACAAACTCTGCCTTTAAAGAAAAATCACTGATGCTTGCTCACCTGCGTCAGAGCACTGCACTCTACATATTTTACAGCTTTAAGTTCCTTGGCGAGTTTCTCCCCTTGCTCTCCGGATATCGGCTTCTGTTTGTTCTTTGCGAGTTTCTCTATTGTCGCGACGTCGTCTCTCAAATCGATTTGCGTCCCGACAAGTAGGAACGGAGTTCTCTGACAGTGATGCGTTATTTCTGGCACCCACTGCAAAACGGCACGTTATCAAAACGAGATTTCAGTCATCAACGTAGAACGTACACGGGAACGTAATGGGCGGAAGCGCGTCACCTTTTCTTTGACATTTTCGAAGGACGACGGCGACACGACCGAGAAACACACGAGAAACACGTCGGTCTGAGGATAACTTAGCGGACGCAATCTATCATAATCTTCCTGACCTAAAAGACAAGAGGTGAAATCGAGTTGTGACACAAGCTGCCTCTGGGAAGCAACGCAGAGAGAAAGAAGGGAGCGTTACCTGCAGTATCAAATAATCCTAACGTATACGGATCACCTCCTATCATCACAGTTACTGCATAATTGTCGAAGACAGTAGGCACGTATTCCGAGGGGAACTTGTTCGTGGTATACGAAATCAAGAGACACGTTTTACCGACCGCTCCATCACCTACCACGACACACTTTATCGTCTGCATTTCGCTGCTGCTTATGTGACCTGAAACACAATATCGGCAACGTGTAATTGAGGACTGTAATCGTCCGTGTCAGAGGGCAATCAATAGCGATTACGAGGCCCCGGCGTTGACACGAACGTAAAGCAAGTATCCCAATCGCTTGGAATCAAACTCAGTTCCGCATGGAGCCTCCGGTTCGATCCATATTGTTGAATCAAGCAGCCTACATTATCCTCATAATCGCACAATAATTTTCATACTCATTAAACAATGCACGTCCACGATCGGCATATATTAATAAACATATTGCACGATAATTTTCTTATCGATAATGCACACTCGTGGCCCACGCGCAATAATTAACACAAGTGTAACGAGCGTGCGACAAAGAGATCCCTTGACGGAGCATGAGCAAAATTACTATGCAGCAATATTGATAAAAACCGGAGTAATGATCCCCGGCACGGGGGCCTTTCGTGGCTGACGTATCCCGCCCTTGACCTAACCTAACCGTAGGTGTGTACCTGCGGCGCGGGGGAGCCGCCGCGCGTCGGACGAGATTCCTTCGCCGCGGGACCGAGGGACTCTGGCGACGCGACGCCAACGCGAGCCGCGATCGGCGGGGCTCGGGCCGCGCGCGCGCGCGCGCGAGCCAGATCCCCGGACGTTCCAGCGTGGTACGTTACCTGGATATGCGGGGCTGTCATTAAAGGTTAAGACCGCCGCAGCTCATAATCCCGAGCGGCGCGGCGCGGAGTGGCGAGCGCGGGCGTGCCGGTGCCGAGAGTGCGGTCCAACGCGCTTGACGGCCGCGAGCCTGCGAGATCGTTGCACAAGTTACGCTCCAACGCCACGGGCCTTTATCGTGCCATGTATGTTATTTTTCCCCTGCGTCGACGACCGCGATTTTTTTCGCCGAGTGCCGAGCCTCTGGCCACGGTTCAAGCCGGGTTCCCTGTGCGGACGCGCGCGGACGGACTTTAGGACGCGTCCTCAGAGAACGCTGCGCCTCGCTTTCCGGCCGCCATGAAATGGCGCGCGGTTCGAAAGACCCCCGGTAGGTCACGACATTTGAATCGTCGGCGACATTAAATATCGAATATGTAACATTGAACGTACGTTTAATATCATCGAGAATCACTTGACGCCGGCAGATGAATCGACATGATTAAGCGAAGCAGTTAAGAGGATGCTAAAGTCATCTGTTTTATCGACACATTCGAATATAGTTTTTGCGGTGCTGAATCTTTTTATTAGTTTTTACGCCTAAAATAATACCAGGATAAGTTGCGGACCGCATAGCAGACCGTTTTTATACTTGAAACACTCGGGTCAGAAGTCTAATGAGAAAGATATTGATATTTGAAATTTTCGATTTTTTAATCGTGAGCAATTTGAATTTGGCTTTATAAAATTACAAAATTCTTCCACGCGATTACAGTACGCGTAAAAACAAAGCGGGAGGTTCACGACTTTATATAAAAAACGAAGAAAAATTAAAAATATCAGCATGTGAAGCCTAACCACAATTACTTATAAAGCGATATTTTTTATTTCTCTTCGTTTTTTATATAAAGTCGTGAACCCCCCCGCTTTGTTTTTACGCGTACT